GTAGTAGTGGTAATAGCAGCAGGAGCAGTCGTAGTAGTAGTAGTAGTAGTAGAAGTAGTAGTCGTAGTAGTACTAGTACTAGTCTAGTAGTAGTAGTAGTAGTAGTAGTAGTAGTAGTAGTAGTAGTAGTAGTAGTAGTAGTAGTAGTAGTAGTAGGAGTAGTGATAGTAATCGTAATAGTATTAGAGGGTGGAAGAGGGGGGTTCAAACCCCCCCCCCTCGACAACGGCGCTGGCGCCGGCGCTGGCGGCCGCCAGCAGCGCCGACGACGGGGACGCAGCGACGATGACCAGAGGCGACCCTTCAGACTCCCAACCCTCCCCCTGGCGCCGGCGATGGCGCCGGCGATGGCGGCGACGCAGCGACGATTATCACCGCTACCACCACCATCGCCGCCACCACCACCGCCACCACTACCACCACCACCACCGCCTCAACCCACCACCACCACAACCAACCCACCACACAAACACCACCAGCACAGCCAGCACGGCCACCACCACCACAACAAACCATCACCACCACCACCACAAACACCCACCACCACTACCAACACCACAATCTACCACACCACCACCACCACCGCCACAACCACCACCACTACCAGCAGCGCAACCCACCACCACCACCACAAACCACCGCACCACCACCACCACCGCCACCACGACCGCCAGCACCACCTCCACAAACCACCGCCGCCACAACCCACCACCACCACCACAAACACCAAAAACCACCACCACACCACCACCACAACCACCACCACCGCCACCACAACCCACCACCACCACCACCACAAACCACCACCACACCACCACCAAACCACCAACACCACCACCACCGCAACCCACCGCCACAACCACCACCACCACACCCACCACCAAAACCACCACCACCACAACAAACCACCGCACCACCACCACGCCACAACCACCACCGCCACCGCCACCACCACCGCCACAACCCACCACCACAACCACCACCACCACCACCACCACACACCACCACAACGACCACCACCACAACAAATCACCACACCACCACCACACCCCAAACCACCACTACCACCACAACCCACGACCACCAACACCACCACCACCACCACAAACCACCATCACACCACCACAAAACCACCACCACCACAACCCACCACCACAACCACCACCACCACCCACCACCACAACGACCACCACCACAACGAACCACTACACCACCACCACCAGTCCTGGTGGCGACGAGCGTCCAGGCGCGTCACGCCCCGACGATAGGTGCGACGCGGCCCCTCGCGAACGCCGCAGCAGGGGCAGCGTCCACTGCGGCGCGGCACCGCTACCGTGGTGGACACCGCCGCGGCGCGCGGCGAGGGGGCAGCGTGCGGGCCTGACGCCCCTGAACGCAACGCCACCGTCGCACCCAACACGCGCAACACAGCGCGCCAGGTGTGGGTTGGTGGGGGGGCCCAACAGGCAGCGGGCCTGCGCGCGCCTGCGGCAAGCGCGAACGCCTGCGCCGCGCCGCGGCGCGCCCGCGCCCCCGACGGGCCGCGCGCGCACCTGCGAGCCCCGCCTGCGCAGCGACGCAGCGAGGGCGCGCGCGCGCACGGCCCTCCCTTCGCGCGCGCGCCTGCCGCAAGACGCGCACCGCGCG